GCACTATTGCGGTAATATTTGTCCTTACTACAGAATATGTATAGTATTTTTAATACCTATTTGGAAGTACCAGTCATTTACCAGTCGTTTTAGTAATTTGTAATTGGTTGGTAATTTTTTGTTCCATCTGATTCATGATTGATAAACAAAAATGGGGTTATTTCAATCCAAACGAGTGCCTCGCCAATAAATAATAAATAAATTGGATAGTAATATTTTTTTTCTTATGTAGGCTTGCTTGTTCACGATATATTCAAATTTTCTATACGTTTTTTACCGGATTGACTTTTTATTGCAAATTACATTAACATTTTTTTTGCATTATCATCTCTTTATCTTAACCTCTTGAGACAGTCTGGCTGAAAAAGTCCTCTAAACCTTAAATTTTTCTGGACATACAACAATTTTAAGTGATAAAAAGAGTAGCATGTGTAATGCCTCTTGAAAACAACTCAATGATTTTTTTCCGAAGAGAAGGTTGTTTGTAAAAATCAACAACTCAAGGGGGTCAGGTCTTCGGATTTTTTATCGCTTTAGGTCTTTTTAAGGGAAAATCCTTTATCTGTAAAGTACCTAAAATATATTTTTTATTCCTCACTTATGCTCTTCTCGTAAATGATTGGTAATTTTGAGAGCGATGACAAATTTTTTTAAAACATAGTACTTACCTATTGTTAGTTTCAATCTCATTATTGAACAAAATCTGTCACTTTATTTTTCTATGCAGCTTAATTTTTCTTAGCAGGCTGAAGTCCTAATAAAAGTTTATAGTAGAGCGTGAAGATCGCATTCCGGATACATCACATTCATATTGACGTTTAGTTTAAATGACGGAGTTACATATTATACTGATCCGAGCTTATAGGTAACTATTCAGGCTATTGACAGAAAAGCAGCTATGTGCAATGTTAGCAATGTCTTCTTCGGAAATTAATAAAGTGGATAATTGTTCCAATTTCACATTTAATTATCATTTCAATGATAGGTAATCTAAGTTAACTAGCTAGTTTATGGACGCCCAATAGGTAGGAAAAGCAAAGCCAGCAGAATATTCAATTGACACGTGGAAAATTGAAGGCTCATTGAAGACGAAGAATAATTATATGCTCTAATTGTAAATTAGAGGCCTAAACTCACCTGCAAAGAAAATAAATTCATCAACAATTTGATTTTTGTAATATAGTCCTCTCTATTAATATTGATTATTAAATGTGATTTATTATAATTAATAAATCAAAATAGATTACTATCACCTGCCTTATTGCATAAAATTTACCGTTAGAGGACCTATTTGTAAATATAAATTATATTATTCACATTGAAGACAACGACGAAAGAATTTTAAAAAGGACCCAATCTAGTCAATCAATTGAGGCACTAGCTTTTTACATTCAATAGGAAAAGGTGTTGATTTCTAACGAAACAAAACCTAAACATGAAAAATCATGCGTCAAATTTCCTGAAAGGAAATAATAACATATCCATTACTAATGCCGATACCTAAGGGAAATGCGATAGGAACTCTAAAAATAAGGGTGACTATTTGGAAAGTGCCAGCATATTGTTGTCACATAGAAATACGTATCGTATCATACAAAAGAAACAGATTAAAATTCAACTATATTACTAAAGAACAGGGTAAAATAATTAAATGTGAAATTGGAGTTTTCCCAAAATTATATTTTTCACCAAAAATTCACAAATAAAACTTTCCTCTGAGGCAAATTATCAGTTTTATTGAGTCAGAAGTATAGAACTTATAGGTGAGTACTTATCCAACTTGTGATTGATTTCCAAGCGGAAATAATGACCATTAATATACTGCCAAAATCAGAAGTATAATGCTTACATTAATGTCAGTCGTAAATAAAAATGTTGATGAATTTGACACGTCATGTCTAATGGGATAGTTTATTTTATTGTTATGACATGGAAGATAAGGAAGGGTTTATGACTGAAAACTTAGAGGGTTTGTTCGCAAAACATCCTCCACTCAGAACTGTGGAGGTCAATGAGCCTCACGCTCCATGGGTAACGTATCTGATTCTATACAAAATGGTTAATGAGCTTGAAACATAATGAATGATATTCCCTCTAAATTAATAATAATCACCCATAATATTGACAAAATAAAAGTGCTTATTTCTATATAGGTACCTTTATTATCTTTATCTATATATACAGTGTGCGCCATAAAGTTGGGTACATATGGGAAAATTCTTAATTATTCCCTTTGTCAAAAAACTTTTTTTAGGGATCGTTTCGGCATGTTCGATAACCAAAAAATCGATTATGACATATGTCATGCGCATATCGGTTAAGCGGGAATTTTGAAAAAAGTTGATATTAATGTCGAAAAACGGGTAAATTTGACAAGATATCAAAAAATTTTATAGGAAAAAGTTGTTCAGAATCCAAAAAGACACATGCGGATTTTGAAGCAAATCAGAGAAAAAAAATAAAACTACTTATTTTACCCATAGGTAGCATTAAATGGAAAATTGAAAATATTAATTTTATTTCAAAAATAGCTTTATTCAACTAAACTACATAAGTTTGATATCAAACGAATCGATTGTTTTGCGAAATACACACTTGAAGGGCATAAATTAGAAAATACCGTCCGGTCGGTCGTGTCGCTATAACTGTACCCATGTTCCTTTTTGCACCTTTTCTGGTCATCGGAAAAATAACAAAAAAACGAATAGTTTCTATTTAACAATAAAAACTATATTTTCAAAATTTAACGTGTCCGCCTTCACGCTCCATACATTTAACTGTTCTGGAAAACATTCTTTTGCGGACGTTTCTCAACATAGCTCCATCGACTTGTGCTGCGCAATTTCGTATAGGTATACATATCTAAGTGTTCTACATTACGAAATGGGAGTTGTTTAAAAACATTATTTTTTAAATAACCATACCATACCATAAAAAAATCACATGGTGTAAGGTCGGGTGACCTAACACGCCAAGGGTTATTTGAATATCGACCTATCCACTGTCCACCGAATTCATTGTGCAGCCATCGCTGCACCGCACGTGTAGTATGAATTGAAGCCCCATCCTGTTGGAAAAATAAACTGATGCTTTGTTTTAAAGGTAGGTTGTCGACAAATGAAGATATTTCCGTTTGTAAAAAAGTTAAATAACGTTCACTGTTCAAATTTTGCCTGGAGAAACAGGGATCCACCAGTCTCTCATTTAAAATAGCACACCATACATTTACCTTTGCATTTACTTTGGAGGAACTATAATACTGGGGTGCGATTTTCGAAACCATTCGAGTACATTTCGTACACGAAATTTGACTGCTCCCCATTTAATTTACATTGCTGTCATTGAATAGTTTCGAAAATCGCACCCTTGGTCCTTCAATACCTAATGAAAGAAGGAGGCATAATTAACATTGAAAATAGGCCCCCTCAAATTTCAACCAAATTTTAATATTTTTAAGGTATCATCATTGCAAAAAAAATTGAAATGTAAAGAGGATTGTATGTCTGTGATAGCAGATATAGGTCATCAAAGTACGTAGGTCCTGCTATGCTATGCATAGGAAATATCCGAGGAAATATCCCTATGTAGATTTTCTTGAATATCTCGAAAAATACAAATCTGATTTAGACCTTTTTGGAGTTTGATACCTACAAAAGGACCCCAAAAACGACAAAATCGGATTAGTATTTTTCGAGATATTCAAGAAAATCTAAGTAGGGATATTTCCTATGCATAGCATATCAGGACCTCCGTACTTTGATGAGCTATATCTGTTATCACAGACATACGATCCTCTTTACATTTGAAATTTGTTAAATGTTAATTGTGCCTCCTTCTTTGCATTGTAATTTGCCTGATTTTCAAACAAATCATACTTCGATCTAGCAAGGATGATAGAGGTAGACGTTTACGAATATGATTTCTTTTATTAGTATCATCAATCCTTGTGCGTTAGGCAATCCAAACCACGTGACATTCAAGATGGCGTGGCGGCCACACATAGGGCCAAACTATTGGCCAAACTTCATTTTTTAGTCGTGTGCAGTCTACTGTTTGTTTGAAGTTTTACATTTTTATGTGCTTTAAGGTGTTTTTGTGAGGGCTAAATCTGTTAAGTGGAATACGACAAGATATTATCATTATGTAGAGCCAATATTCGACAGAGCTTGGTGCCCCAGTCAGTATTATCCACATTCTTTACCTCACTTGGTTTTCCCATTGTAAAACCATATGATGGGGAAAAATACTGAAATTGTAACACCCTGTGGAAAGACACATCCTGATTGTCCATTTCGCGGCGCCTTCCACATCCCACAACAAACAGACATTTATCCGGGATTTTACAACACTAAGGTCCGATTTATCCATCTTCAGATAAACTTGCTGGTAACTATCTGCAAGATTAATTAACCGTTCTTCGATTCTATTGGTCGGCGGGTAACTGGCCGACCAATGAGATTACAGATTTCGTTTTTATCTGTCAGATTGCATACATGACAGTTTATCAGAAGGTGATCAAACTGGCCCTAAATGCAACAAAAATATCTAGTTTTCGCGCGACGTAATAAGTACCTAATTAACCAATATTTTATAACAAATCTAATTCGAACTTGCAAGCAAAACTCGAAACAAAATAACCAAAACGCGCATAAAAAACATATATTCATAACAAACTTGCTTGGCTGCTACGCCATATTGAATTTTTGTTTTGACAGATGGATTTGAGGTTATGTTATTTGATTTAAGGTTAGGTGTGGACTTTTACAGCGACATCTATTGGTAAATTCAATGCGGGTATTCGTATCCTTTTCTACTAGCATGTAGAAAAAAGTGACGGATTTTTTTTCCTTCCACCATTAAATTCACGACTTTTCTCAATGTGTTAATTTTATTTTGTAACAGGCGGCTTTGGAAAAATATTTGCACTTGTCATAATAGCAAGTAAATAACTCAATAGTAGCGTCATATTTTGTCAGTTCCACTTTTCAATTATAAAAGTAATGGCCCCAACATTGAGTTTACAGGACAAAATAGAGCTAGTACTGATATGCGGTGATCATTATTGCAGTACTAGAGAAGCAGCGGAAATTTTCAATGGAAGACATCCAGGCAGAAACCTATGCTTCACAGCAGTTGCGAAAGTTTTGAAAAAGTTCAAAAGTACTGGTTCAGTTGAAAACCGATACAGTAAAACTCCGCATACACCTCCCGTAACTTCAAAAGAAGAGAATGTTTACAATATCGTATTGAATGTCACCGAAACGCCAAGAGTGTCGACGCATGTCATTTCGGACAACACAGAAGTTACTAAAACCTCCATGAGCCGAATTTTAAAAAATAATAATTTCCGTCCGTATAGACCAAAATTTGATTTGATTTTTGTGAATGGTACCAGGGAATGTTACAAGAAAATCGTAATTTCTCGAGAAATGTGCTTTTTTTCCGACGAAGCTACTTTCAGTTCGAATGGTGTGGTTAGTTCCCAGAATTGCAGGTGGTAGGCAGATCACAATCCAAATTTCATTATTGAAGCTAAAGACCAGTATAGTTTCAAAGTAAATGTATGGTGTGGTATTTTAAATGATAGACTGGTGGGTCCCTTCTTCTTTGGACAAAATTTGGACAGTGAACGTTATTTAACTTTTTTAAAAACGGAGATATCTTCATTTGTCGACAACCTACCTTTACGACAAAGTATCAGTTTATTTTTCCAACAGGATGGGGCTTCAATTCATTCTACAAGTGCGGTGCAGCTGTGGCTGCACAAAGAATTTGGTGGACAGTGGATAGGTCGATATTCAAATAACCCTTGGCCTGCTAGGTCACCCGACCTTACACCATGTGATTTTTTTTTATAAGGTTATTTAAAAAATAATGTTTTTAAACAACGCCCATTTCGTAATGTAGAACACTTAGAAATGTGTATACGAAATTGCGCAGCACAAGTCGATGGAGCTATGATGAGAAACGTTCGCAAAGAAATGTTTTCTAAAACAGTTAAATATATGGAGCGTGAAGGCGTACACGTTGAATTTTGAAAATATAATTTTTATTGTTAAACAGAAAGTATTCGTTTATTTGTTATTTTTCTGATGACCAGAAAATGTGCAAAACGGGACATGGGTACAGTTATAGCGACACGACCGGACGGTATTTTCTAATTTATGCCCTTCAAGTATGTATTTCGCAAAACAATCGATTCGTTTGATATAAAACTTATGTAGTTTAGTTGAATAATAGTATATTATGCAATGATCATGTAATAATAGCCAATAATACACGAGCATGTTGTAGGATACGTATATAATATGCGAGTGTATTTGGATGGGCGTCAGATAAGAGCCAGCGCGCCATCTTTTGGGCTTTATGACATACATTAAATATTTTTCAATAACAGGTGTTCAAATTCTCTGTAAGTGATTGAATTATTCACAAGTAGATGGCGACATCTTCAATATCAATTCGTTTACACAGTAATTTACAGTGGACTAAATAATTTTATTCAGATACAAATAAAATAATAGTATTTCACATTTTTAGCTAGGTGAAATAGTTTTTACTTGCGTTTAAAAGAAGTAATGAAGAATGAAAAAGTTTTGTATTTCGTGCAAAATTCTTTAATAAATATCAGTGCAAAGCGCTTTCGGCCGTGGCCATCATCAGTGCAACCTGAAAGTAAGGAAAAACACTTTCTGAAGATACTGGAAAATTTAATGAAAGTTTGGAAATTTTGGAAAATTTGAAAATTTTAAAAATTTTGAAAATTATCTGAAATCTTAGAAAATTTAATCTATATCAATTTAAATTATTCAAAAGGAAGAAATTAATTACTAAAGAAAGTAAATTTACTCACTTCGTCAGGTTTGTACAAAGAGTCTTCTCGTTGAACATATAGGTGTAAAGGAACGAAACATCACATTACAAATTAAAATAACACATTAAAATATCGGAAGATCTTTGGTTTTTTCGCTGGTGCACTATGCAAAGGCTGTGTCCTCTCAAATTACAATCACATCGAAAGATGTTTTTTAAGTTTAAGTTAATATTCCTTTAAATTTGTGGAAGACCAACAAGTGATGAATGATGTGCAGCCATTTTGTGTATGGTTGCACGTTTTTGATTGTGGTTTCCCTTTAGAGTGACACATGACAAGTAAGTCAGTGTAGCTGACAAGAGCGGGAAGTTCGAAAAGTAAAAGTTTATAAGATCCAAAACCATTACCAACGTTTTTAAAACAATATTTGGAGATTTAAGATGTTTATAGTGTAAAAAACTTGTAGTGTAGATGACGAGCTAGTCCTACACATTGTGGAGGACAATCAAAAACGTGCAACCATACACAAAATGGCTGCACATCATTCATCACTTGTTGGTCTTCCACAAATTTAAAGAAATATTAACTTAAACTTAAAAAACATCTTACGATGTGATTGTAATTTGAGAGGACACAGCCTTTGCATAGTGCACCAGCGAAAAAACCAAAGATCTTCCGATATTTTAATGTGTTATTTTAATTTGTAATGTGATGTTTCGTTCCTTTACACCTATATGTTCAACGAGAAGACTCTTTGTACAAACCTGACGAAGTGAGTAAATTTACTTTCTTTAGTAATTAATTTCTTCCTTTTGAATAATTTAAATTGATATAGATTAAATTTTCTAAGATTTCAGATAATTTTCAAAATTTTTAAAATTTTCAAATTTTCCAAAATTTCCAAACTTTCATTAAATTTTCCAGTATCTTCAGAAAGTGTTTTTCCTTACTTTCAGGTTGCACTGATGATGGCCACGGCCGAAAGCGCTTTGCACTGGTATTTATTAAAGAATTTTGCACGAAATACAAAACTTTTTCATTCTTCATTACTCCTCAACGTGCACACAGCTCTACACCCTCTATTTTAAAAGAAGTGACTATCCTTCCCGAACTCAGCGACATCTTTTAGAGAAGCGCTGAATACACGTTTGGTTTGAGTCAGTTTGAGTCTTTGCTGAAAATGACAGCAATCACCTCGTTGTTTGGCAGATTTTGATTAATTCTGTGATACAAACATTATAATTTTCGAAAATTCTGTTCTATTCATTTTTTCCAGCATTTTATTATCCGAAATTTTGGACATTTATTGTTGGTGTGCTACTCTATATGTTTATCCCTTTTTTATTTGAATCCGTGACCAAAATTTGCATATTGTTGACAACAAAATGGTAATAATTTTACTATTTAGAATGCGTATTTTGCAACCAAAAATGCTTTGAAAGATACTCCAATTTATTATTGTTATGAACATAGCTTCATTTCACTGAAAATTGGTCTAAATTTGGAATTGAACAGAAATTAGTGAAGGTCTGTAAATGACATTTTATTTAAACGCCCCTCTTAATGGCCATTACATGAGAGTTGCATACACTATTCTTTCTACTGCCATTGATAAAACTTATGATATTTAGATATGTCAATATTATGCTTAACTTTGAATAGAGATTTTATAATTGAGTAATGCGTCCAGTTGAAGGTTTCATTTTTTGTTGTAATCTTATAAAATATACTATTAAAACATTTTCTGAGAAGAACGATGTGTTTTTGGTGTTTCTCCAATCCATAAATTGTCCATATAATTTTTCGTAAATTTTCTTGGACTTATCCGGTAGTATATTATTACCTGTGTTGGAAACATGTTCCAACAATCATGCTATCTCTTTTTGATGGCAAAATATTTTTATACATATAAAGTTTGCAACACTGCAGCGTTGTCGTCATGTCTATTTTGTCATGTCTGTCAATATATTGCGCGCCATTTTTGTCATTGCAGCAGTGTAGCTTGGAGCTTGTCCACGTTAACAAGCATCCAGAAACCTTTTCACATTTTAATAAATTTTATAATCTAGCTCTGCCCTGTTGGGCATCTAAGCAAGCTCTGGCTTCTTGTCATCTTGTAGTAGTAATTGTAAATAGTGTAAATATTGTGTAAATTGTTGTAAATATAGTGTCAGTGAAAAGCGCGTGTGTTTTAGTTCCCTATCCAGTCGATCATCCAGTCCACCTAATTATACAGTCCACTAATTATCAAGTTATTTATCTTCCATTATGTGGTTTTGCACATAATTTTGGCCAGTTCGAGCCGGATACTGGATAGTTCGGAACCTAAAAGTGCTTTAAAAACCCTCAAAAAGTGCCTTTTTAGTGGTTATTGATTGTTCCATCGTGATTTTTGGCGCCATGTGATGCAAAAAATCAATCATCCACTGTGCAGTCTGCACGTGTCTCAAACAACGTTGGGTTCCACGTGCCACCAGCGAAGGTTTCCGCCGGAACCGGAAGTGCGTAAGTAGAGTGGGGCGGAGCAAACAAACTTCACTTGTCAAATTCAAAAGGGTGCTTCTTTTTCTCGTCTGGTTCAACCCAAGTCACCCCGGGTGCAGTATCCTTGCTTGGTGCAATGAAGTACAGCCCCGGAGCAACGAACATGAAAGTGAGAGTTCACCACCCCGACAGCTTAACCTCAAATTAAATGTCAAACATTTGCTTACGTTTTGTTGTTTGTTGTTTGTGTATTTTGGATTTTTGCAGTGAATTTGAGTGAATTTGCATTATTTTTGAAAAACTGAATTTTTCGCATTAATTATTGCTATTTTTTCATTATTTATTTAAAGGATGAACAATTATCCGTTTTTCGTTTTGTTAAGTAGTTTTTAAAAAAAAAATCTAATTTATTAGGTAATTTTAAATTTTGTTTATAGATTTCTTTTGATATTTTCTTATTTTTTTGATTGTAAACTTTGTAAATATGGCTACCAAAAAGCAAATTGATAAATTATTGTCAAAGAAAAAGCAAGCAATCGACTCCATGGTTAGAATAAGTCGTTATATTTCCGATCACAAATCTGATCCTGACAGTGAGTATAAAACCGACCAATTTTTAGTTCGGAAGGAAATATTGCAGGACAGTTTTCAAAAGCTTAAAGACATTCAAGTTGAAATTCTGTGCCTTGATGGTAACTATGATGATTCAATTGATGATGTAGAAACTCTTTTTTATGATGTCATTGTAAGTATTAAAAATTGTTTACCTAAATCTAATTTACCAGGACCAGCTAATACTAGTAATTTAGCAACTAATATTGCTCAATCGGTTTCAATTCCACCTACTCAAAGTAATAATTTTATTTCTGCTGCTAAATTGCCCCCAATCGAGATACCTACCTTTGATGGAAAAAATTTTAACACAAGTCATAAAAACAAAGCCAAATTCATTTTTTGAAGATTTTTCATCCCTTAGAAGACTTCAAAGAGTTTTTGCCTATATACTTAGATTTGTTCACAATTCTGGAAAAAATTCTGGTGAAAAACTTGAGGGAAGTTTGAAGCTTTCAGAACTGGAACACAGTCTTAGAGTAATCATAAAATGTGAGCAAGACTTTTACTTTTCTAATGACATTAAATCTTTACTTTCCAATACCCCTTTAAAATCCTCATTAAACTCTTTGTCGCCGTTCCTAGATGGCA